GGGGGGCTTTCTGTGCAGCAGGGCCCAGAGCAGGGGTTTGCACGCCCATTTAAGCCAGTGGCTCCCAGTCAGCCGGCTGCTCCATCCCCAGCGAGAACCGGGACTGGTTAATAAGCAGTTCTGCTTCTCTTGCAATTACCAAACATTAACAAAACGTTTAACCCCGAATTATTTTAAGCTCATAAAAGAGGTAATAATTGACTTTAAGGCTAGCTTGAAAGAAAAAACCCTGAATCCAGGTTTAAATACTATTTTTTTTTTTTTTTTAACCAAAATGACTGATGTATTTATGGGTTTATGACACGTTTTGGCTTCTCAGTCTCAGCTGGCAGAGGAGGTGGGAGGAAGGAGCAGTCTGTGCATGCAGTGGCCACACTGCCGGGGACTGGCGAGCCCTTGCCCTGCCTCCAGCAAGCCCAGGGTCCTGCATGCCAGGAGCCGACTCCCTCCTTCCCGGAAGGACAGGGCAGCTCCAGGGGAAGAACTGAGCACTGGCACAGCTCGGTACAGGTGAAAAAGTTATCGCCTCGGCCACAGCTGTAGTGGGAATGTTTAATTTGCTCAGGATAGGAGGGGAGAAGGGTGGTCTGGGAATCAGCAGCTGAAGGAGCCGAGCTGTTGCAGCCCTCGGCACTGGTCCCAGAGGGAGCCTGGGGGCACAGCAGGGCGCGTGATGGGAGAAGCAAAAGGCAGCTCCTCTGACGCTGCACTTTGGGAAGGGTTACCTTTGCCTTAGCTGCCTGGAAGAAACTGCCTTATTCACCAGCTTACCACAAAAACCAGATTTATGGGCTTAGTAATGAGTGTAAAAAGCAAAAAAACCCCTGACTATGCCAGAACCTGGAGCAATCCCAGGCAGTCCAGGGTGCAGCAGTGCTGGGGGAACGCGTGTGCTGGTTTGTGACCCGTGCCACATTCCAGTGGTTCAACGCTTCAACCTTTCCTGCTGGAGTCTGAAACCTCAACAAGCCCAGAATATCAAAGTGCAGACAAGTCACCTAGTTAATACAATCTAATAAAATATCTGACTATTAATTACACGTGTGAGCAGGGTATACGGCCATCTCGACATCAATAAACTAGCCGTGCAAAGTCTGTTTTCTAGCTCAAGTGCTCAAGGGAACAATCCTCATAGACAAATGATTCATTCACCAGCGTATTTTAGAGATGGAAAAAAAAAATCTCCCAGCCTATAGCGTATGTTATGCCAAGACTTAAGCCTGCTCTAGATTTATGTCTTGGCAATGGCTGTGAACCCCAACAGCACATGCCCTTGGTTAAATAGCTGTCAGGTATGGGGATGAGGGGGAACTTAACACAATCACTGCAATTTAATGGGTCAGAAGAGACCCTGGGAAAGAAACCTGCAGACAGGCAACAGGTCGTGAGCCAGAGCCCCTCGCTGCCAAGGACGGCCAAGGCTGGGGCTCCTTCCCTCCCCACGGACCCCGAGGAAGGGGCTGCGCTGCCTGCGGGAGCATCCCTCTCCCCTGCACGGGCAGGAGCGACGGCTGCGGGCAGGACCCTCGGACAGGGCAGCGCCTCTGCTTTCCTTACCCCCTCACTTGGCGGGGATGGGGTCCGGCAGCGAGAGCCTGTTCCCGGGAGGGGCCGGGGAGGGTCTCCTGCTGGTCCCAGGAGGCAGCGTGGCTGGTGGCAAGCAGGATGGAGAGAAGGAGTCAACGTACCTTCGCCTGGCCTTATGTCCGGCCTTCCAGCATCTTTCCCATCATTCTTATCATCAAGGGCATCAGCCAAGTCAAAATCCATAGGATCCTTTGCTAGAAAACAAGGGGGGCGGTTGTCAGTGCTGGCCACAGGCTCTGCAATTAATTCACTAATCAAGGAACTCTCAGCTTTGCTAAGGAAAAGCCCCTGACACAAGCACCTCCTGGTTTTGCTGTGCGGCATCATGGCAGATCTTCCAAACCCACCCCATTTCGTGCCGCTGGGGTGAGAAATGTCGTGTTCTCTGCACAGGAACAGTCACGTGGCTGCTGCTGGAGCACCAGGCAATCGGATAAATCAAGCCAGGTAGAAAAGGTCAGAGCCAAAGAGGTGCTCCCGAGGGCCTGGGCAGCGGAGGAGAAGGAGGTGGCTGCGCTGTGCCGGCTGGAGCAGCCCGCGAGGTGCTTGCTGGGTGCCACTGCCCTCCATGAAGCGCCTGCGTGGCACCCTGAGCAGCCCGGCTCTGACGGAGCAGCTATCGCCCTCGCTGAATGGTGGCTAAAGCTGCGGCATGGAGCCAACCTGAGCTCCTCAGCCCAGCCACCAGCTCGCGCCTTGGTTTATTCTGATCCAAAATTGTTGGGGTTTTTTTTTAATTTTTTTTTTAAGCCTAGGAGCACCTTTTCCCAAAACTCTGCCTGAGCAGCTGGGGTGCCCTGAGCCTGTGGACGGCTGCGCCGGTGGAGCCCAGGATGGCTGGGCTGGGCTGGGCTGCGCCACACCGGGTGGTGCTGGGGAGGACAGCAAGCCCACAGCCTTAAAATAAGCAGAGGAATGCAAAATGGTCCAGGAGCTGTCGACACCCCCAGGGGAGTGCAGAGCAGTGCCAAGATACCCTGTCTGCTGTGTGGTTTTTTTATTTTTAAATTTTTTTTCCCTAAATGTCTCACGTGAACACACAGACCAGGGGCTGGAAATACTGGGCGAGGGTCAGCGCCGTCGTCACAGCACATCCCGAAGCCGCTGCCTGCGCCGGCAGCAGGGCTGGGGGGAAGCCCCAGGGGCTGGGGGGGAGCTCACACTCACCTGGCTTATGCTTGGGGGGCGCCCTCGTAGTTTTTGGCTGCTTGGTCGTGGTGGTGCGGATGACATCCCAAAAGCTGTTGTCTGAAGGGAGGGGGGTAAAAAAGAGACCAAACTGACGTTACCCTCTCAAACGTGCATCTGGACAAGCACTGGGAGGGGAACCTGGGACTGCAGGGAACCTGGGGCTGCACTGGTTCAGCGCTCTGGTCTCCCCACAGCTCTGGCTGCCCCTGACACCGGGGGCACCCCCCACCCCTCGGTTCCCTGGGGATGCTCGGGGTGGTGGGCACCTTCGCAGGGATCCCCTGTGCCAGGGCATGTGTCAGCGGGGCTTGAATTTGAGAAGGGGATGGGCAGGGCTGATGAGAAAAGCCCCCTGAACACGCTGCCGATGGGACGCACGCTACTGCCCGCTGACGGGAGCTCTGCCACCGCAAGGGCAGCCCCGTGCCACCCCTGTTGGCTCCCCCCGGCATGTAGGAGTAGGACCAGGTGCTGCCAAAAACATACTTAAGGATGCGCTACTTCGTTGATGTAATCTCCCACCTAACAACAGCCAACGGCTCTGTCCTGGTTAAAAACTTTTAAAAACGCTGCTGGGCAAAGCCCCCCGTGTGGTGGGTGTGTGGGCAGCAGGGGAGGGAGGACGGTGAAATGCTGGTGCCGACCCTCCTGGCATGTCAGCGAGAGCCTGGAGCATCTCCTCTGCCGGCTCCACTACAATGATGGCAGAGCAGGAGGAGGCGGTCACCTTTCAAAGTCACCTGTTGGTGGTCACCAAACCCACCAGAGCTCATCTGTCAATGCCCAATCTCATCCTCCTGGCTACCTTGGGGACTGTTTTCCCCTTGCCCCGGAGGTGGGCACGCATACGCCCTTCCCAGGGCACAGGGAGCTCCACAGTACCTGGCTTCCCTGGCCTGGGGAAGGGCTTCGGAGTCGGCTTGGCTGGTTTGGTGGTGGTCTCCAGAGGGGTGTCAAAGTAATCAGCCAAATCAAAGCCTGTTGCAGGAGAGAAGGGATTGTTAAAACACCCGTCCTTGCTGGGGACGCTGCGAGGCTTTTGGCACGCATCCCAGCGCGGCAGCTCTGCGGATGCCCTGCAAGCAACGCTGCATCGTTGCCGGAGGTCACCAGCGCCCGCCTGGGCGTGAGGCTGGAAAGGGTGCCCATTCGCTCAATCGCGGCCGTATGGCAGAGCCTTCAGATCAGCCTGGCTTAACTCTCCCCATCCAAGCTGTGCCTGCCACCCACCCCCAGCCGGAGCCACTCCAAAATAATGCGTTTTGGGGGGACACCCATTGGTGTCCTGCGGCGTTTCCTGAGAAGGTGCTGCAGGGATCGAGCCGGCGGCTGGGACCTGCCCCCCGTCGGCGACCCCAGGCTGAGCAGAGCACACACAGAGAGGGGCCGGGGCACAGGAACCCGCCAGGGGAGCCCCTCGGTGCCATCGCTCATCCAAAAAGCACTCCCTGAGGAAGACGAAACTCGCCAAGACAAAGCCTCAGCATGTGTCCATGTCCCGGGGGGGGTGTCATTGGATCATTGGATCAAACAGCCTCTCGGTCGGGCTGTGATCCAAATGCTGAAGCCCTGCACGTGCTTCTGGCACTTGGCTTTTCTTGTGCCTAGCAAAGAGCACGGTGGCCGAGGAGCTGGACAGTCGGATTTGCTTCAATTTGTGCCAAGATCCTCATGCAGGGGCGAGCGGATTCACTTCTGAGCGCCCCCCCACTGCAGTTTATTTCGGGCTGCTCTGGCGGGGTTGAGCAACACTCGGCTCTTGTGACCACGCTATATTTAAGTAGGTATGTTTGGCCAGAACGGAGCCAGAGCAGCTGCCGGCAGTGGAACTCGGGTGAATTTAAAGGAGCTGCTTCAATCAGGGCAGAAGCTGTGGAGCCGGCCAGCCAGCACAAACAGAGAGACGTTTTTCCCTGGATGGGGAAATGTCACCAGGCTGGGACTTTCCATGGAGGTTGGGGATATCAGACTGAAAAAAAGGAAGGAAAATATCCTCTGGGCTCCCTCCTGCAAGGAAAGCCAGCAGGTCCCACACAGCCAGAAACAAAAGCCCTTGTGTAGCTGAGCAGTGATTTGTGTCTTTTCCATTAGGATACTGCAAAGTGTGCAAAATTCAGCCTTGGCCGTAAATGCTCCCCTGCCACTCGCCTTCAGCACGGACAGAAATATCAATATTGCATTTACTTGGGCGTACAGGAGGAGCACGCACAGGCACGCCGGCACCAGCCGTCCCGCGGGCAAGCGAAGGTGTCCCAACGGCTCCGCTAGGGCAGCAGCACCCAGCCGCACACGTGCAGCTCGCGGCGGGGACGGACGGACGGACGGACTCATGCGGTTCAAACTCCCGTGGGAAGCAAACCCCACGCGGTGCTTAAACGCCGCGAGGGCGAGGAGGTCTCACCTGTCCCACCTGCCGGCTTTCTGGGGCCCTTGGGAGTGGCTGCGACAAAAGAGACGGGGAGGAAAACGTCAGTCATGGGCATCGCCAAAAATGTCTCGCTTCTGGTTTGAGAATAAACGGCAAAGATTTCACCACGAGCTTCCCAGCTGACTATCATCGCTCCGCGTTTGTAAACTCAGAGCCTGGAGCCACGAAACCCCCCGCGCGCACAGCGCGTGGCCACAGTCAGCCTTCGGGGGGGGAGAGTGTGTGTGTGATTATTTATTTTTTTCAGCCCCTGTAAACCACTATCTATTAATAGTGGCCAGCATTACCAAGTGTATGAATAAATTATGAGCAAGAGCTGTGGCTGCTCTATTCCCATTAATTTCCATCTGCGCCTCTGAATACCAGAGCGCTTCTGCTGGACTTCATTTCCAGAGTGCAGGTACGGTCCGACATGACCCGACGCCAGACCCTTCGTTTGCTTTTATTCCGGGGCTGATGCAACGAAGTCAGGAGCGGGATGCAGCAGCTGGGGAGGCTGCGGGGACAGCGCTGCCTCTTCCCCCACTCGCGGCCGGGACGCCGGCCTGGGGAAATGCTGCTTGCCCTCTGCAGGAGGTGGCCCTTGGGTGTTTATAACCAGCTCTCCCCACATATGCATTAAAGGGCTTGCAAAATCCTAGAGGAGATCCCTCAGGCCCATGACCAAGTCTGATACCCCACGGTCTGTCCTATCCCCCTCCCACTGACCCAGCATGCCGCAGGATTGATGCACGGAGCATCCCAACGCTTTATTCCACGTCAACGCCAACACAACACAGTGCAAGTGTTTGTGTGTTGTCAGGCTACAAAGAGGTTTCAAAGCCTGTTACAGCTTTCAGTTTAATACTTGTAGGTGTATTTTGTGTGATCTCGGGGGCCGGCATCACTCACAGAGTGCTCCCCACTGCTGCCCAGCTGGGCACTGGGTCTGGGGACAGTCACTGTGAGCCACACCGGGAGGGATGGCAGTGAGGGGCGCTGGGTCTAGGGACAGTGACTGTGAGCCACACGGGGAGGGATGGGCAGCAAGGGGTGCTGGGCACTGGGTCTGAGGACAGTGGGGAGGGATGGGCAGCGAGGGGTGCTGGGCGCTGGCATTTGCAGCCAGTCAGTGAAGGGGAGCTGGCGATGTGTCTGGGGGCAGACCCTGCTCGGGCTCAGCTCTTGGTGCTGGGGGGAGACATGTGGCGCGCCCCTGGGAGGGAGATGAGCCTCCTCCCATCAGCTGCTGCGCTGGTCAGGTTACCTCCTTCGGGTGTAAAACAAGAGCTGCTGCGCTGAATTTCCTCCCCCGGGGTGGTGCAAACCCCCCCACCGTCCCCCTGACCTCGCTGCTGTTTCTGCCAGGCCCAAGGCTGAGCTTGGCCAGGCACTGCTGTCCCCTCAGGGACACAGCCCGGCCCCGACTTAGATAAAAATTATACATTTCAAAGCCAAATGTTAAATACCAGCATGCCAGCAGCAAGGCACCCCCTTCAGAAATGAGTTCCCTTTAACTGATGGGTTACACTCAAAATGAAGCAAAGCAACACCCCAACACTGCCGCTTGCCTTCCCCGAGCACCGCGATGCAGCGGGACCAGGGGAGGGCCCATGTTTGATAGTCAGTGTTTCTAAAGCAGGCAAGGAGGGCAAAAAAGCTGTGGTCGGTGCTGTTGCTACCTCAAAACACTGGCGTGCCCCTGCGGTTTGCTCGCGGGAATCAGAAAGCAAAGGGCTCAAGGTCAGCAACCAGCTTCTCCAGGACTATTCCCAGTCCTACCTGTGGGCAACCGCACCTCCCTGGGCAGGAGATGAGGGAGCCCCTTTCCTCCACCCCCCTCCCGCTGGCATCAGATCCCAAAGAACAAATTGCATCTATTAACATCTATTTGTTTTCTCCTCTTTGAAAGAATAAATAAGCGTGACTTACGTTGCTTGGTGCTGAGGTCGTACAGGGCATCTTCTAGTTCGAAGTCCCCTGGGACGCCCCCATGACCTGAGGACAAAGAATCGGCACGGGTTGTACTTGCTCCACACAAAGTAAACCGCCTTTAAATATGGTGCGGCTAGGCTCGTTTGCTCAAATTGCTTTAGTTTTTAGAGAGCTTTCTGCTTTTTTTTCTGAATCTGACCCATCATCAGTGATGAGGAAGACATCAGCCTTCTCCGAATGCTGTGACTGTTAAATTGCAGAGCAGTCATCTCCGGATTTTCCATTTGTCTGCCCTAATGGATGCGATATAAAAACACATGCTATGCTTAAATTTGTCAAGGAGAGCCTACCAATTCATCTCTCGAGCTGCCACTCATCTGTGGCGGTACTCGCCGATTGTACGTTTGCTAAACACCGTGAAAACACTGGGACAACGCAGACAAATTCAGTGAAAAGCAAAAAAGCCCCATGCACCTCTTCTTCACAAGTGCCTTCCAACATCAAAGGCTCCGTATGGAAACGCTGCTGCTGGCTGCCAAGCACAACTTAGCATTTCAGAGCCTGCCTGCATCGTTCTGCCTTGGTAATACAAACCAGGACCAAACCCCATCCCAGGGACACACCTGACAGGCACTGCCAAATTTTTTTTGTTAGATGCCTCACCACAATTCCAGTCACTTTATAATATCCCGGGGATAACTCGGTGCTACACCGTGTTCTCCTGCGATAGGGCCAGCTAATCCTTCCTTTCTCCGTCTTCTTTTTGCATCACGTTAATTACTGTTGACTTACCCTAGTTCTGGATGTATTTGTCTTGATAAATTCATGCTTTTACATCTCAGAGCATGCTGAGTAATTAATATCCTTTGGGTTTGCTAAGTACTGCAGCACCGCAAGAGAACATTAAAATGGCTTTCCTCTTACTCCTACTGCTAAATGGATTTAGCTATTGCCACCTGAGCTCCAGCATGCTTCATGAATAAATTTAAAGCTTTACTGACAAGGACAATAACAACGGGAAGGCACCAGTCCATCAGAAAGCAGGTATCAGCATTTCAGTGAAAAACTTCTACCCAGAGTGGTCACTAAGTACTGCACCGCCTCCAGCCCTGCTTGTGCTGCTCACACATCACGTCTCGTTTCATTTGCCGTCTGCTTAAATGTGCACTCAGCAAACCTGAGGGTGATTTAAACGCGGCGCCTCGGGCTGGGAAGTTGCTATGGGCTTCTCTCTCCCTGGCAAAGCGTTTGGGGGGTGTGAGGGGGGTGTAAGTGATGCACGTCCCAGCCCGCGGCTGAGTTTCTCATCGGGACAAAGGATGCCAACACTTCCCCTGCGAGGCCGGAGGAACGGCCGGCAGCAGGCGATGCCCCCGTTGCAGGTGGAGCCCCTTCGCCACCGCGTGAAATCAGCGGCGCGAGGTGTGCGGGCGAGCCCTCGCTCAGCACAGCAGCACAGCCAGCCGTGCTCAGCACCGCCAGCCTCCCCGCACCCCCCTCCACCCCCTTACCAAAATGTTTGCCTCTTGGGGGCTGGTGAAATATTGGCACCATGAGACAGGCGATGCTCTCCTGCTCCGACAGCCCAGATGAAGCCACAGGGTTATCAAGCACAAAGGAGCAAAGTAAGGAACATGCAAAACCATCCCTGGCACCGAAAAACCACCTGCCCCACTCTAGTGCTTGCACGGGGTGCTGCCAAACCACCAGCACGTCCCTGCTGAGACCCCACAAGCTCATTACTGCTGTGGCCAACTATACCACACTTGCTACTCTGGCAGTCTCATGCAGGGTCCCTTTCCCAGCATGGCTTTTTCCCCAGTCTTTATGGGATTTTCAGGAATCGGTAGGGCTCCGTCATTCTTGTCTTTCTATTTTAAACTGTGTTTAAAAAAAGGTGGAAGGGGAAAACCGCGGTGCACCTCTGGCAGGACGAGAAGCGCTGACAAACCCGCCTGGGGGAAATGCACTGTCGCCACGTTTCATTTCGGTTCCCCCTGCCTCGGCGGCGGGCAGGGCAAGCTGGGAGGAGGGATGTGCTGGTGGCACTGAGACTCCTGTTGGTACGCTAGCGCCGTCCCCTCTCTCCCCGTGCTCCCTCGCTCTCCGTGATTAAGTAAACGTTAGGGGCTGATGCCCCGAGCCCTGCCGTCAGCGCATCCTCCCTGTGCTTCACCTTTGAGGTAGGAGCCCAAATACAAAGTGAGGGGGAGCAGGTGGCCAGGGGGGGTGCGTGCAGTCACCCAATTTTCTGCTGAAGGGCTACGGGGTTCCTGGGGCTGCACCGAGATGTCCCCCCGCTGGGGCCATGGGCCCTGCAGGGAATGTGAGTGCCCCAAAAAAACGGGCTCCCCCCTGCCTGGCTTTGGGGGGCTCACCAGACCCTCCAGCTGAGCAGCACTTACACCTCCCCAGGTTTGGTGAGAAGCTCCCCTTTGCATCTCTGACCGTGGGAAGGGAGGGTGCCACTTCCAAAACCACCCTCCAAAGAGCCAGCGGGCACACCAGCAGGTCCAGGGGAACGAAGGGTGCTCAGGGCCCTCCGTCCTCATGGGGCTGATGTCAAACAGCAACCGCGAGCATGTCCTGGGCTGCAGCTGCATCCCGGGGGAATCCCCCGCCAGGGAGAGGCACGCAGGCAGCCCCCATGAAGGTTAGGGAGGCACCAACATGCCGAACCGCCCGGTAAAACCTTCCCTAGGAGCTGCGGTGCTTGGCACAGCCCATTTCCCAGGGCTTTCCCACCGCTACCCACGGCAAGCCGAGATCCTTTTCCAGGGCAATTTAAAGCCAGGAATCCCCTAGGCACTGGCAAGGATTAATAATAGATTGCCAGTTAATTGAAGCTGACAACATCCTTATTTCATGCAAAGCGTGTTATAGAGACATATCACACCTTTTATGGATCAGTAGCCACGCAGTGCCGTCAAAGGCAGCAGACCTGCCTGCTCACGCCGGCAGATACGAGCTGAACCCTCTCCTCCTTACTCTTTTTCGGTTATTAAGCGGTAACAAGCCCAGCAGTTCACAGCCAGACGCTTAAAACCCAACCAGCATTCGGTATGCATGTTTACCTTACCTTACAAATGCAGTTTTTGGGGAGGCAGCGCTGCTGCTCCCTGCAAATCCCTTTGCTCCTGGGGCCCCAGTCCTGCCCTGCAATTGCCGGAGGAGTGGGTCTCCCAGGCTCCCAAAGCCCATCCTCTGATGGGAACCCAAGCACAGCCCCAAGTATCTTTATATTAAGGGTTTATACTCTCCGGGAGAGGCTGGGGCATGTTCCTACGCACTACACCTCACAAGCAGCCCACTGCCGAGCCGCAGCGGTGACGCTCAGCGGCCGAGGTCCTGCACACCCTGAGGTTTCCCCTCCCGTGCAGGACATGCCCACGCTGCCTGCAGCCCATTGCAGGACTACAAAACCACTGACGCGCACAGTCATCCTCCACCAGTTGCTCGGTATCAGGGAGCGGTATGGGATCTTCACGGATTGATAACTAGATGAGTTTGGGCTTTTTTTCCCCACCTTTGCCCTGGGTCCTTGGCAGGACTCTTGCCTCTCGCTGCTGGGAGCAAATGCCCATCCCCAGGGGCAGCTGGGAGGGGAAGCGAGCCCCACGCGCCAGCTGGCTGCCGAGCGGTTGGGTACTGAGGAGCGGTTGCGTACCGAGGCATGGTTACGTACCAAGGAGCAGGTGGGTACCGAGGAGCAGGTGGGTACCGAGGAGCTGTTGTGTACTGAGGCATGGTTGTGTACCGAGGAGCGGTTGTGTACCACAGAGCGGTTGGGTACCGAGGCATGGTCGCATACCAAGGAGCGGTTGTGTACTGAGGAGCAGTTACATGCCAAGGAGTGGTTGTGTACCGAGGCATGGTTGCGTACTGAGGCATGGCTGCCTACGGAGGCATGGTCGCCTACCAAGGCATGGTTGGGTACCGAGGAGTGGTTACGTACCGAGGCATGGTTGTGTACCAAAGCATGGTTGTGTACCGAGGCATGGTTGCGTACCAAGGCATGGTTACGTACCCAGGAGCAGTTGCGTACCAAGGCGTGGTTACGTACCGAGGCATGGCTGAGTACCAAGGAACGGTTGCGTACCGAGGAGCGGTTATGTACCGAGGAGCGGTTGCATACCGGCACTGCACAGCGCTGGAGCGCCCGTGGAACTGCAGGTCTATGGCGGTGGCACAGGGGGAAACGGGCAAACGGGACGCATTTTCCATATTTTTCTTTAATATGGCGATAAAAGGAAACTGAGCTGGCATATCTTGTGGTACCTAACGCCAATCCCCCAGTGCCAGAGCAGGGGGGTGGGGGCACCCCGAGGCTGCAGCTGCGCCAGGGGGAGGCTGTAAAACAGAGGTGAGAGTTATGGCCAAGCCGGTGCCGTGGGCTCCCCCGCCTCTCGCCGTGGCCCCTCGCCTTGCTGGGGGTATTTTTAATCAGAGCTAGCTGCTCTTTGAAGGTAGAAGGGTTCTGTACCTTAATGTATTCTCTCCTCATTATTTTCTGTAGCAGGCAGCTCAAACGCGCAATTGTACTCGTCAGCTTTTTAGTTTTCACAATTATATATATATTCTAATTAAGCCCCACTGTTTGACAAAGCTTGAATTACAGTATCATAATTCACACGCCGTGTATTGCTAGGCCGTCTGCGGCACTCGGAGTGAGGTATATTCCATTTTTAGCGCCAGCCCACAGATCTCTTTGTGCAATATATATGTGTTTAGCTTCCCTGGGAATTGAGAGCCCGCGACGGCACAAGATTGACAGCCTGGGAGATTACGGGAGAATGCAAAGCAGGTACAAGGGCAGCAGAAAGTAATTCAAACGGCCTGACTTTTATGCATCTACCTTAGGAGCGGCGTGGCAGGCAGCGGGTGGGAGAGCAGGAGGAAAGCACGTGCCGAGGTAACTGAAAGCACCATGGTCCCTCCAGCGACCGATCTCATCTTTTTGGCTCTGAGTTACGGCGTTGGCACATGCAGGTGGCTCCCTGTGCAGGGCACCCGCGGCTGCGCTGGCACCTCTGGGCAGGGCGCTGGGGATGGAAGGGTTTTGGGTGCTGGACCGCATCCTCGCTGCGGTGTTTCCCACCGGCTCAGCAAAGATAAAGCCCCAAAGGTCTGCGGGGAGCAAACGGCTGCTCCTCCACGGGCACAGGCCCCCTCTGCAGCAGCAGGGGTGCCTCTGGTGGCACCGGGGGTCCCCAGGGACCCCTCCTGGAGCAGGCGATGGTGCCACGCCGCCAGCCAGCGCAGTGATCCCGGTCAGCACAGAGCGGAGCTTCAGGCTCGCCGCTGCTCCCCACAGCTGCTGCCTGGGCACAGCCCCAGCCACCTGCCAAACGCCTGGGAAATTTGCTCGCAAGCGCCAAGTTGCTTGCGCATCTCGAGTTCCTGCTGGCTGCTCAGACCAACGCACGGCTCTGCGCAGGCAGGGAGCGCGGAGCTCCTCGGAGCTGGGGCATGCGGACGGGCTCTGGAGCGGCGCTGGCGGGCTTGGTGGGTAAGGACAGCTTCACTGCAGCTGGGCTGCTCTCCAGCTGTGCCCAGGCTGTCTCCTCAACAAAAATCTCCTCCTGACTTGTTCTGCCTTGAAAAGCAGACTCGGAACTTCCTCCAGCTCCCTGGCTGCTGCCAGAGAAGACAGACTGCCCGGGATGTCCCTGCTGGCAGCCGGCTGGGGCGAGGGGCGGCAGGGCTCTGCCAGGAAGAGAAGTGGGGGAGAAACTCAGCCCCCTGCACCCGCCGTGGCAGTGGGACCGATGGCTGACACCGGGGGTACATCGCCCCGGGCCGGGGCACAGCCAGCTGAGAGCGGTGGGACACAGCCCCCCGGCTGGGATGGCCCCTGCTCCTCACGGGGCACAAGGCAATGCTGCTGTCCCCGTTCTCCATTCCTAGCAAAACATTTTGATTTCCAGAAGTACTAATCAAAATCACTCTTGATTATGGCAAAAACAACCTCTGCTAAATTTTTTTTTTTAATGCAATTAACAAGGGTATATGGTAATTCCAAGCAATCTTGCTCTTGAGATTAAAGGAAAGCCTGCCAGGAAGCACATGAATAAAGCTTTAAGATGAGAATTTGCATAATGAAGACTTTCTCTTTGTGGAGGGACTAATGGTGGTTATGTTTGAAACCTATTAATGAAACGCCTAAAAGCCTCCGCTAACGCCAGCACGCTGCTGCCGTGACCCGCTC